TTATTTTGCTATAGGGCATGTGTGCTCACCAGAGAGAGACAGAGAGAGAGGGAAAGTGAGGAAGCAAGCCACCAGAACCAGGATTCAGACCATGGTCAGCCATGTGGGAATCCAGCACCTTAACTACCATGCCACCACTGGCCCCTAGCAATTACTTGTTTTTTAAAGAATTATTTCTTTTATTTTATCTTATGATTATGATTATGATTATTATTATTTTATTCACTAAACAGAGAGAGAGAAAATGAGAAGGCAAGCCATCAGGTCTGGGACATAAACCATGGTCAGCCATGTGGGAGTCTAGCTCCCTAACCACCATGCCGCCCGTTGGCCCCAGCAATTACTTTTTAATTTGCATAATTATTTGATTAAAGCCTGCCTCTTCCAGTAGAATATTAGCTGCATGGGGGCAAAAGTGTAGCACAGTGCTTAGTACATAGTAGGTACTCTGTATTTCTTTCTTTTTTTTTTTTATTTAAATTTATTTGTTTACATTCATTCACTATACATCATTACAGCATACAAAATGAGATTTTCCATCCAGAGTACACTGTATATTGCCTCAATCAAGCACATCAACATACATGTTATTGTCAACAAATAATTTTCCATTTCTTGTTTCCTGTATGTTTTGCTTTTTTCCCCCCATCCTTGATTCCCTATCTCTTACCCTCTACCATCTCCCACTCTCTTCCCACCCTGTCTCTGGTATCTATGTTTACTTTCTATACTGTTCCCCCCCCCATTTTTTATTGAATTACTAAAGATCTTAATTAATCTAAATATTTTCATAGCAAACACAGCTGATATATACATTTCCATGAATACAAGTCTAATTTTAGGCATCCTATAAAGTAGCACCTAGCTGGGGCTATATATCTTACTGAGGTCATTGAATGGATTTTTTTTTTTCTGAAATTTTTTTTTTTTTGGTAACTTAATTTACATTTTTTCCCTAAGCATCCTCACAGCCCCCAAAATGTGATTTCCCATCCAGAATATACTGCATAACTTAATCATGCATATTATTATCCTAAATTTTCCATTTCTAGTCCCTAGAATGTTTTACCCCTCTTTCTGACCCTCTGTCCTTTCCCACCCTGTTCTCCCGCTGTCTCTGATGTCCACAATTGTCTTCTATTCCTTTTCCGCCCACATTGTATTGATCACACAATTTCTTAAATAATCTAACTACTTTCAATGGTAAATTCACATGGTACTATTAAGAAAACCAGTTTTAACTTAAATCATAGAAATGCTAAGAAACTTTTCTTAAAGCCAGGAA